ACATCCATAATCCATACACTAATGCTTCTGGGGTCATTTGCAAATTCCTCATTAGTCACGTGATCAATGGGCCACCAAGGCCTCCTGGGGTTAAGTCATTTCAGTGTGACCCCTTCAGGGTTCTCTCCTGCCTCACATGAATCACAAGCTACCTCACCCCTTATTTGGCCTGTCAGTCTCAGGACGTGGCAAACAGAGGTTTGGCTGCCTGGCCAACTACCTGAAGACAAGCCTGAATGTTGTAAATGACTCTGGGGATAGGTAAAATGAGAAACAGGTTGGGGGCTGGCTTTCTCTATTACAGGCTGACTTCTCAAATACTGACCAGGGCAAAGGAACGTTTCTGGTGGCAAGGGTCCACTTTCCCTCAGTGGACCTACAGGCAAGCCCCTCAATGTTCTTTAGGTATAGTCACCATCTGAGCCTCAAAGGCCATGTTTTTAGTACTAAGCACACCAAACCTTACCTTACTTTTTTCTTTTTTTTTAATTGAAGTATAGTTGATCTACAATGTTTCAAGGTATACAACAAAGTGATTCAGTTTTTTATATATATATATTCTTTTTCAGATTCTTGTCCATTATAGGTTATTACAAGATATTGAATATAGTTCCCTGTGATATACGGTAGGTCCTTGTTGTTTATTTTATATATAGTAGTGTGTATCTGTTACTCCCAAATTCCTAATTTCTCCCTCCCCCCACCTTACTTTTCTTTATAGTACTCATCACCAAGTTATCTATTCATTGTTCATTTATTTATTGTATTATCTTCTTCTCATTACAATGTAACTGCCATGGATTGGGGCGGGAGGGTGTCATCTGTTTCATTCAGTGCTTTGTTTCCAGGGCCTAAAACTGTGCCTGGCACTTGGCAGGTGTTCAATAAATATGTGCTGAATAAATATTTCAAACTGTCCTGGAACGAAACTGTCTTGCCTGCAAGTTAAACAAGTGCCTCTTCTGTGAAGGACAAGAATACAAGATGCTACTTTGGAGAACTCCCAGCTGATCACCAACACCAGCTGCACTTTCCCTCTTATCTGTCATCTTCTCTTTGGCTACTCAGTTTACAACTATCCATGGGGGTGAGGAGAAGAAAAAGGAGTGGTGACTAATAACATGCTTCTTGGAGATTTACTGGAAAGTTCACTCTTTCAGTCAAAGTTCTGGGGAAACTAATTAATCGAAGAGATTGATGCACATGGAAGATCACTTCAAAGTGTGGTGGAGGCTCTCACATGAATGCTGCTGCACTTATCTCCAGTGGAAATTCCCAAGAACAATCAACAAAGAGCTACGGGCGAAGGAACCATTAACACAAGTTCTGATGCCCAAGGAACCACTAACACAAGTTCTGATGCATACGTTATTGGCAGCAGGAACTACACTTAACTAACCACTCCTAAAAGGAATTTTTGAGGTTCTATTCTGAAAAGGAATATATTATCTGCCCTTGTATTGATCGAAATTGTGTATTTGGGGGCACTCCAAATACCAGGACTTATCACCCGAGAAGAGATTAAAAAATCATGCACATTTGTGGCCACCTGATAAGGGGTGTTCCCTAACAACAATAACACACATACACACACTCACTGCACTGTACAATTTATAAGTAGCTATTATGTTTTATCTACCTTTGTTTCCTAAATGGGGCATACTCTTAACATGGGAATCACAACTCTTAGAAGATACAGAGGGCAGGCCAAGTGAATAAATACAGGCTGAGAAAGACAGTCTTCTTTGTCCTTCCCAAAAGAAGTACTTGGCACCACCCCATGGGTGCTATGTGGGAACACTGGACTGGCACCGCCAGATCTACAAATTTTTCAGGCAAAGCCAAAAATAAAAATATTTCATAAAAAATTATCAATCCTAGAAACTGTACAAGTCACATAAAGCCTGTTTGAGGCCTGCTGGGAACAGCCAGTTTATAATCTCTACGTGCTTCCATGCAGACTGGCACTCTCCCTGAATGCTACGAACACCTGAACACCCACAGAAGTATCAGCTTTCCCCCACCTCCATCTGCAAAGGTCTGGAGTCAGGACACTTTGCCAAGCCTCCAAATGTCCACTGTATCCCACACCCCTTCCTCTCTGCCCTCCACCACCCAGTGCCTCACCAACATTGTCAGTCTCGAGACCATGTGACACTCCTATCACTTGCTTATCACCACATCAGCCCCAGACTCCAGTTACCCTTCATCACCCTGTTTTGTCAGCATCTCCCTTCCCCCAACTCCTGGAGTCTCTGATACTCATGGCCTATCTTAAGCAAAATCTCTCATTTCTTCAATCTCTTCTCTGAACATTCTTGTCACTTTCTTACTCTAACTGAACCCAGCTCTCCCCTGAAGATATAGCTTCTCTTGAGCCCTTCCAAGTGGGCACTGCTTCTACACCATTCTCCCTCCACCCTCAACACCCAGTTATGAATTTCATCATCAGAGTAAATCGTATCCCACCTTGTGGGTCATTTGCTGATCCAGGTCACTGCTCCTCACTTCTCCATGATTTTAGCTCCTGGCTCACTGTCACTCCTGCTGCTGCTCCTATCACCATTCTTGGTGATTTCCATATCCAGATAGGCGATCCTCCAACCACCCTGGCCTCTTGGTTCCTAGACCTCTTCTCCTTCAGTGATCTTGCCCTCCCTGCAGCCGCTCCCTCCCATGGTCACACCTAGACCTTGTCTCAATAATTGCAGCCTCTTCAGAACCTCAGTTTCATGCATCTCCCTCACTGCCCATTGTATCCTAGCTTCCTAGTTCAGTCTCTTCAAAATCTCAACTCCAACAATCCACTGGCCCTACCACCTTTCCACTACCCCTCGGCCCCCTCATGTCTTCACACAGATCATTATGATCACCCCGCTATACACATTCACTACACACTTCCCCCCCTCCACCATACTCATCTGGAGGTACCTGTGCAGCTGTGTGTGGCTGGAGAAACACCTCACTCTTAATGGATGACCTTGCTTCCTGAGAAAAATCAAAGCAATCAGAAGGGGTGGAGGGATAAAAACTACCTCCTGCCTCAAATTAAGCTGTTGAAACCTTTCATACAAATAGAACTTCAGATAAGCAAGGGCATTAGTTCACCCAGCCAGATAGGAGTACTTCTGAAAGGTCAGTAGGTCCAGCCAGCTGCAACAGCTGGGGAAGCCACTGGGAACAAACAGAAAAGGCCTCTGCAGCCCGACCTGGCTTTGTCAATTACTAGTGTGTGACCTTAGGCAAGATCTGTAACTTCACCACCACCACCAGGTTGTTTCAAGGATTAAGTGATGCACAAGAGCTCAAAGTAAACAATAGATGTTAGCCCCAAACTCAGTTTTGATAAAGTCCCAGGCCAGGTAACTGGAAAGTATATCCTAACATAATTAATTCCCCTAAAAAAGTCCAGAAGGGCTGACAAATTCTAGTTCAGACCACAAGAATGATCAACGCCTGCATTCCTAATTCCCTGGAGCTGAGTCTCTCCCCACTGGCTCTTAACACTACTCCCCACCCCACAACTCAATTTTTCCTCTCTGCCTCAGGCATAGGGAAATTAACAGTCTTCAGAAGACACCACAGGTGATGATTTGGTGCACATACATCCTGCTTTCTTTCTTTCCATCCAAAATGCTGGCCTATAAAGCTACCTGGCTCCTGCCTATTTTCCCCACTTGGCATCCTCCTCCAACCCCCCACCTCTCCCGCCCAACACACTCCTGCTCTTGTCACACTGTCATCTCTTTTCCTCCAATACCACCAAGTTTGCTCCTGCCTCAAGGCCTTTGAACTCCACTACTTCCAGTTGGATCCTGAAGCCTCTGTGTCGCTGCCACTTGCTCATTCTTCATGTTGGGCCTCAGCCGTCACTGTCCTGAGACCTCCCCTGACAACCAGAGCTAAAGTGGCCCCCATCGTCTTACATCATCCCTGTTTGTCTACTTCACCCCGCTCAATTACGTCTTAGTAATTTAATACTGTGGTGAATGCTCTTTATTTGAATGTTTACTCCCTGTCTCTGTCTATCCCACTAGAATATAAGCTCTCTAAGTGCAGGGACCTGGCTTGTCTGAGTCCCAGCTGTTATCACTGCTGCCGCCACTGCCCCTGACACATAACAGGGGCTCAATAAATTTTGCTGAGCCAACGAATTTTTCTTTCAAGAGATCTATTGTCAAAGCCTCCTTGTGGCTGTCTGAAGCAGTAAGGTTAGACCGACACTTGTTCAAAAAGAGCTTTCAGGCCAAACTTCCACAGAGTTTAGAGGTTTAAACTGAGCCTTCCCCTCCACCAACCTCTAAGGACCAGGCCAAGGAATCCAAGCCCAGCTTCTCAATGCCAATATTCTTCTTATACCAAGAGGCTCCCCCCCTTGCACCCTGACAAAGTTTTTTCCCCCCAACACTTTTGCTTTTCTTTTCCTTCCTTTGGATATCACCGAGAAACACCCTTCTTCTTGGAGGCATTCTGCTGCAGCTGAACCAGAAAGCTTTCTCAGGAGGCTGCTGTCCAATATGCAAAAAGGTCGGGGTGAGGGCTTCTTTCCTGAGGCTGAAACGGCCACCAGGTCACCGAATCCAAGCCCCACCCGCTGCGGCTGGCCTCCCTGGACTTTCTTGGAACTCTTCTCTGCCAGGAAGAGGCTGGTCTTCTGTTCGGCCCCTCACCTCCTTCCTGCCACAGGAAGGGGCACTGCCACTCTTCTTGGTCAACAGCGCTAGTCTCCTCCCTCATTCACAGGAAACTTTTCCCAGGCCGGGCTCCTCCGCCTGTCCTCACTCCCAAGGGCTCCCAAACCTCTTTCCCAAGGTTCAGTCTTGCTACACACCCTGAGCTTCACCAAGTCGCCCCCAACTTCCTCCCCCGCCAATTCTCCCCGCTCAGACCCTGCCCAGGGCCTCCTCAGACCCCCACTAACCCCTCGACCCTGCCCCTAACGCCCCGCCTTCGGCCTCTCAGCCCTCCACAGCTCCCAGGAGACCCGCCCGGGCCCTCACCGTGGGCGCCACGTTCTTCGTCGGCCGCCTCAGCCCCGGAGAGGAGCAGCGATGCCAGCAGGGCGAGGAGCGCCCAGTACCGCCTCAGCCCACAGAGCTGCGCCATGACTGGCTCCACCGGTCCGCCCAGGCGAGGCCTCGAGCTGCTCGCCGTTGGGGTCTCGCGATCAGGTGCGGGAAGACCCTTGCCGCGCACGCGCACTGGAGCGCGTCGCGTTCAGGTGTGCGCGTCCCCTCGCCACACAGGAAGTCTCCGGGAAGCACCTTTCTCGGTCCTTTGGTGTGCGGACACTCTGCCTCCTGCGCCCACGATGCTTTAGTTCGCTCCTCGCTTGCCCCGGACTCCCCCCACCCTTCAGAACCCCGCCACACCCCCCAGACACTCCGTGGTTGCCAGAGATAATGGCGGCTGCCTCGAAGCTGCTACCGAAGGTGGAAGGCCAGGGAAGGGGCGGGGCGCACCTGGCGAGGCGGGACGCGTTAGAGCGCAGGCGCAGGGAGCAGGCACCTGAGCGGCCGTCCTCCTCCCTGGGCGCACCTGGGTCCGCCCCTGGCACTGGGGTAAAGGGGCGGGACTTGCGTCGGCTCCGCCCCGGTGGGACTTAGACCAGGGGCCGGCGCTCGCAGGTTGAACCTCGGGACTCCGGTTGCCCTTGCGCGTGGGCTTGTTGACCACGTCCGAGCACCTTCCCTCTTGGATTGGGCCTCTGGGTGGGAGGAGAGGTCGCAGACGTGCTCATACTGGAAACCTGTGGTTTTTGCCCATCTTGCTTCAACCTTCCGTTGCGGGCGAGGGGTTTATTCTTCCTAATTTCCAAAGTTAACTGAGCGCCTACCCAGAGGTGACCACGCCAGAGTGGTCCTTGCATCACCAGACAGGAACAGCCCAGCGCAGTGATGACAGAAGCATAGGGCAGAGTGATTATGAATGAGACAGCACAAGCACAGGCTAAGTGATCAGAGGCTGCGTGGTGGAAGACCTGGGAGCCCCGACAAGTTCCCATTCAGCCTGAGAGAGGGCCACGGAGGGCTCCCAGAGGAGGTCGTAGACCCATGAATGAACAAGAGCCCCAGACCCTGCCTCCACAGTTCCTAGTACTTAGATGAAGACAGATAATTGACCAGAGAAGGATAGGTGTCAGGGCTGTGATGGGGAAGCACAGGCAGAGTAATCAGACCTGAAAGGAGGAAAACCCAGAGGAGGCATCTGACCAGCTTCCGGGCCAGGGAGGGGCTTCCTGGAAGAGGGATATATGAGCTGAATCTCGAAAAAAGGATGGAGTAGGGCAGGCATAGGAGTAGCCAACAGGATAATTAAAATAAGTATATTATTATTTAAAACACCTAACAGTGCTATGAAGGAGATGAATTAAGGGCTGGGATTAACAGAGAACAGGTGGTGGAGGAGGCGGTTTTGATATGAACCCTGAAGGATAAGAAAGGCTGATGAATAAACATTCTAAGCAAACAGCAAATGCAAAAGTCCTGAAGCAAGAAAGAGGTCAGTGTGTTACAGGAGCCAGGGCCACACCCACTACTTGGCCTCCCTGCAGACATAATAATATGTGAAGAGCCTCAACTGGGTTATCAAAGTGGTGTTTACCTTAAACAATTAAGATTTTATGCCTGCCATCTTCTTTAATCTTGCAATGAGGACCTACCAAGTTTATGATTAACCTCTCTATCCAAAATTTTATTCCGTTTCTTGTCCTGCCCCTGTGCCCTTCAGGATTGAGGAGTATCAAAGAAAAGGGGGATTGAAACCAAGCAGGACCCTGTGGGGCCCTCCCAGGTACAAAAGCCCTTTGTTTCTTGTTTGTAGAAAAAGGCTTTGGTCTCTTAGGCCTTCCTTGAGTTCCAAAGAGCAGACTCAACAGTTACTAGTTGAGGAAGTAAAGGAACGCAGAAACAAAGGAAAGGGGCAAGAAACAATAGTTCAGTGATAAAACAGAGTCTGTTCCTCCTCAAGGGATATACATAACAATCTGACACATGTCTTTGAGTTTTGTTTGCAGAGACTAAGACCCCCACTCAGGTGGAGGATGGTGACTAAATGCTGACCACAAGCATCTAGACCCCAGACTGGTTGGAACCAGAAGGTTGATGATTAAGATTCCCAAAACATCACCCTGTTACCTCACCACCAACCAATCAGAGGAAAGGCCACGAGCTACAACCCTCACCCCAAATGTTGCTTTTAAAACCCCTTCCTTGAAAGCCATCGGGGAGATCCCATCTTTTGAGCACAAGCTGCCCCTCCTCCTTGTTTGGCATCCTGCAAATAAATGCTGTACTTTCCTTTACCACAACCCAGTGTCAGTAAATTGGTTTTGTGTGGCAGGCGAGCAAACCCACATTCAGTTCTGTAACAACACCTGGGGTGGATCATTTTTTTATACCTCCTCTCTACCAGGAAATTATTTTTGATAATAATCATGTAAGAATCATTATTTTATTTGTTCTTTAATTTTAAAATTAATAATTGAAAATGAATAAATTTCCATTTTAAAGATATTACTCAAATTCAGTAAAATATTTCATGTGTGGATGAAAATTTGTACTTACCAAATAAAAATATTATACCTCACAGTTCATACCCTGATTCACTCTTTTAAATTTTTAAACACAAAAACTCCAAAGGATGTGTAGAATGACAGAATAGTTTCTTCATCTTTACAATCAGTGTGCTATCATTTAAATTTCTAACCTATTATTTAAATGCAAGAATATGTAGAATCACAGAAATGCCTGAAACAAGCCCAAATGATTCCAAATTGTTATGAACTTATTTTCAAAATGAACACACAGAGCTGAGTCTTCATATGTCAGAGGTCAGCTGTATACCTGAGAGTTCTCTATATTGACTTCCCTATAGAACAGGGGTCCCCAGCCCCTGGGCCACGGACTGGTACCGGTCCGTGGCCTGTTAGGAACCACACCACACAGCAGGAGGTGAGTGGAGGGCAGGCGAGCAAGTGAAGCTTCATCTGTATGTACAGCTGTTCCCCATCACTCGCATTACCACCTGAGCCCTGAGCGCTGCCTTCTGTCAGCATTATGGTGAGTTGTATAATTATTTCATTATATATTACAATGTAATAATAATAGAAATAAAGTGCACAATAAATGTAATGTGCTTCAGTCATCCCGAAACCATCCCCCCCTGCCCCCTGGTCCGTGGAAAAATTGTCTTCCATAAAACCTGTCCCTGGTGCCAAAAAAGTTGGGAACCGCTGCTGTAGAATATTGTGGTAAACAGATGTTGGACAGTCCCCATGTTCATGGCCTGTATAATCCCCTCAAGTGTGAGCACGACCTGGGATTTGCTTCTTACCAATTAAATATGGCAAAGGAGGTTTACATTATATTATGTAAGACTCTGTCTTCGTGGACTGAAAAGAAAGAGATTCTCCATTGCTAGTTTTGAAAGATATAAATTGCCACATTGTGAGAAGATCTATGGAGAAGGCCACATGGCAAGGAAATGTAGGTGGCCTCTAGGAGCCAGGAGCAAACCCCACTGATAGCCAGCAAGAAAATGAAGACCTCATCCCCACAGCCTCAACAGATGAGAACAGATCTTTTTTCAGTTGAGTCTCTGATGAGAGAGGAGCCCTGGCTGACCCATGGATTGCAGCCTGGTGAGGCCCTGGAGCAGAGGGCCCAGCTAAGCCATGACTGGACTGGATCCACAGAAACTATGAGATAATAAACATGTGCTGTTTTAGATGCTAAGTTTGTGCTAATTTATTACACAGCAATAAAAAACTAATACAAATACAATGTTTACTAAAGGATAGAGTAATAAAAATAATTTGAAGCTTACATATATATTATTAAAACTCAACAGTATTAAAAACAAACTCAACAGTATTGCATCAATTCAGTCAGTAGACCACCAAACAATTTTTTCCTGGGGGTGGAAGCATTATTTTATCACTGATACTGTTTAGAATTTGTCACATGGCATAATAAAAGCTTGGCCAAATTTGATCAGTTTTATTATTATTTTTAAATTCTCCACAGACAGTGCACCCCTTTTTTCCTGTACCCAAGGTGGACCAAACCTATTGCCCTCCCTTTGGTACACTATTAGTTGGAAAACAGACGGTAAATAAAACGAGTAAATTATATACAATGTGGAAAGGCAGTGAGCATTATGGATAAAACATAGAGCCAGGTAAGGGGCATGGGAGTTGCAATATGAAATAGGGTGGTCAGAGAAGAACTCACTGTACAGGTGACATTTGAGGGAGATGAAGGAGTGAGCCCTGTTGACATTCTAGGGAAGAGCTTTCCTAGACAGAGGAACGGCTAGTGCAGAGGTGCTGGCATGGGACTGTGTTTGGCAGAGCTTTGATTGCCCCAGAACCATGGGGAGCTCTGGGCATTTTTTTTTTAATATAACAGCTTTATTGAGCTATAACTCACATACCATACAACTCACCCTTTTACTGTGTACAATTCGATGGTTTTTAGTATATTCATAGAGCTGTGTAGCTATCATCATGATCAATTTTAGAAAATTGCATCATCCTCGAAAGAAACCCTTGACTCTCTAGCAGTCACTCCACTTCCCGCAATCTTCTCAGCCACAGGCAACCACCAATCTATTTTCTGTCTCTATGGATTTGCCTATCCTGAACATGTCATGTAAATAGAATCATGTGACATGTGGCCTTTTGTGTCTCGTTTCACTGACTTAGCATGTTTTCAAGGTTTATCCATGTTGTAGCATATATAAGTACCTAATTTCTTTTTATTGCCAAATAACACCCCATCATATGGATATATCACATTTTATTTATCCATTCTTCAGTTGATGAGCTGGGTTGTTTCCACCTATTGGCTGCTATGAACATTCATGTACAGATTTTTGTGTGAGCATTGTTTTCAATTCTCTGGTATGTACCTAAGAATGGAATTACTTGATCATATGGTAACTCTAAGCTTAACCTTTTAAGGAACTGCCAGACTTTTCCAAAGTGGCTACACCATTTTACATTCCCACCATCAATGTATGAGGGTTCTGCTTCCTCCACATTCTTGCCAACGCTCACTTGATATTTTCCATTTAAAAAAAATTATAGCCATCCTACTGGGTGTGAAGTGGTATTTCATTGTCATTTTGATTTGCAACTTCCTGATAACTAATGATGTTGGGCATCTTTTCATGTACTTATTGGCTTTTGTATATCTTTTTTAGAGAAATGTCTATTCAGATCCTTTGTCAGTTTTTAAATTGGATCATCTTATTATTGAATTACACAACTTTATTTATTTTAGATACAAGTACCTTTTCAGATATATGATTTGCAATTTTTTTCTCTCATTCTGTGGGTTGTCTCTTCACTTTCTTGATGACGTCCTTTAAAATGAAAGTTTTAAATTTTGATGATATCCAATTTTCCTATTTTTTTTCTTTTGTTGCTTTGGTTTTGATGTCATATTTAAGAAACCATTGCCTAGCTATGGATAGTCTTAAGCAGGGGAGGGACATGGCCAAATTTAAGTTTCATTTAAGTTTTGAAGTGTTATTCTTGCTGCTTTCAATTAAAGTGGGAAGACTTGTGAGCTAAGAGATTTCTCTGGTTACCCTGGCTAAAACTGTAACCCCACCCTCACTCTATTTCTCATTTTCTGCTTCATATTTCTCCATAGAACTAATCATATTCTAATAAACTGTATAATATACTGTACTTACTTATTATGTCACTGCCTGCCTCCACCGCAAGAATGCCGCCGGCTCCATGAGGACTGGGCTTGTCTGTTTGGTTTACTGCTCTATCTCCAGTGCCTAGGGAAGTTCAGGACGGGGAGCCTGGTGATAACCAGAGGCACAGAGAACCCCTGGATGCTATCTAGCATGAGGAGTCAGATATGGGGTGGGGGGGCGGTTACAGCCCAGATGTCATGATGTCAAATGAATATTTGTTGAGTAGAGTGAGTGAATATGAACGAATGAATGCATGGATGAGTGAATAAATGAAAGAAGGAACAAATGATGCACCGTTAAGTACTATGGCTCGACCTTCCCTTGCAAAGAGAGTAGGTAGCACAGGGGCTCGTGCACTGTCCCTGGCAACCGCCAGAGGGCGCAGACAGGCCGGGTTCCCTAGAGCCCATCCCGGACCCGCCCCCCCGAATCCAGGCCCCGGGAGCCCCTGTTGCCCGATCGGGCCGGGGGCTCCCGGATCCCGCCCATACCTGAGCCAGGCACGGCCGCGGGCTTCACGCCGGCGCAGCGGTCAGTCCTCGCTTTGCAGGCAGGGAAACTGAGGCCCGGGGCAGCCGGGGCGGGGCCGGCCCCCCTGCGAGTCCGAGCCCCCGCCCCCGGTCGGCCCCGCCCCGGCCCGTAAGAGGCCCCCCTGGCCGCCAGGCGAAAGCTCACAGCGCGGAGCCGGGGCCGGGGCCAGGACCGCGATGGCAGCTCAGCGGCTGGGCAAGCGGGTGCTGAGCAAGCTGCAGGCTCCATCGCGGTCCCGGGGGCCGGGAGGCAGCCCCGGGGGGCTGCGGAAGCGACACGCGCGTGTCACCGTCAAGTATGACCGGCGGGAGCTGCAGCGGCGGCTGGACGTGGAGAAGTGGATCGACGGGCGCTTGGAGGAGCTCTATTGCGGCAGGGTGAGACGGGGAGAGGTGGGGTTGCAGGGGGAGTCCCGGACCGATAGACCCTGAGCCCGGACTCCCTACGCCTTGAGGGCCTCTGGTTGCTTGTGCTCGCTGGTGCGCGCTGGTGCAGCCTCGTTCGCACATTAGGACGCACGCTCCTGGACTCATGGGCCTCGCCGTCCACCCTCCATGGCACTCTGCTTGTGCACACAGACAGACACTTGGGTCCAAACACCAGGGGAGCACCAGGGGTTTAGCGTATGGGAGGGGTGAGGAGGTAAACTTGGGGAGCTGGAGTGGCCATATCTGGAGAAAGGGTGGGGGGAGGGGGATGTCTTAAAGCCAAACATATACATGGTGGCAGGGGAGATACAACCACACGGAGCTGCACAGCAAAGGAAGCATCAGCATTCACAGACGTGCACAGTGACGAGCTATGGCCACTCGCAGACACAGTGACAGAAGCAGCAGCCATGCACGGACTCTCAAGGACACAAGCTGGGGTCGCTTACGGATCAACCTATGCTACAGCCGCAGGCTCTCACAGTCACAACAGCACAGGCCACAGCCATATGCAGACACAACACAACTACATCCACACAAAAGGACTCCAGTTACAGCTGTTCATAGATACACACAGCACAGGCTGTAGCGGCTCGCAGACGGTACAAGTTACAACAGCTACCCCCAACGCCCAGTGATTCAAGTTAACGACCATCCATTATCTCCTAAAGGCAAAACACGATCATCACGTGCAAACGCAATGATAGATGCTGCAGCCACGTGCAGACATAAAATAACAGAAATTATAGCTACGCCCAGACAGAAAACCACGTGAGCTATGGGCTCCTATGCTGTCTCATGGGGTACAGACAGACACGGCATCTCACTCGGGTCTCTGCCTGGAGTCACATTTTGTACAACACACACGTGCTGTGGAGCATGGTCACAGGTACACAGACACACAAGACGACAGATGCTCTGCAGCACAGTGAGAAGGTGGGAGAAGCCAGGGCCCCTCGCAGTGACACGAGGGCCCTCTGTTCTCAGACACACGTGGGCTCACACAGGTGGACAGTTGCTAGTGGTAGGTGGCATCCTCTGTGGTCGTCCTCCGACAGTGGGCACTACAGCTAGCCAGACTCTCAGGGACACAAGCTGTGGTCACTTACTGATCAGCATATGCTACAGTGACGCATGACGGTGAGACAAATACAGCTAAGCCGGAGTCGCCCACTGCCCACCCGTAGGACCACAGGCCCCTGCACAGGCCGTGCACGATGTCACACACCTCTGCACCCTCGTGCCGGCCCTGGCATCTTGGCATCAGGCTCTGGCTCACACACAGAGACTCACACAGGCAGGTAACACACTTACAGACACTCCATGCCACACACAATCCCCTGACCACCCAGGCCTGAAACCCACAATGGAGTCAGCAAAACTTTGCGTAGGGGAGGCAAAACTCTGTAGCCTCTGGGATCTCTTTGCTCAGACAGCTGGGTTCTGCCCCCCACAGGGTTACTGAGCCAGCCTGCATTTGCCCTTTGCCCCAAGAGGCCATCCAAGGGTCCCCCTCTTGGCTGCTCACAGTCGGGCTTGTGGCTTATCTCTCCCACCCACCTTGGGGGGCTTCCTGGAGTTGAGGGCTGCGCTTTGGCCCTGGGGGCTGACCCAAGCCCTCCCCGCTTGGGTGCCCTGGGGCAAGGGGCCACCCCCAGCAGGCTCTAGCCTGCCAGCTTCCCTCCCCTGCACCTAGCGCTTAAACTTTTCCTTGAAAGGGCAAAGCCAACCCCTCTCCTGAATCCCAGAATCTGACATTCCAAGACTCCACCAGGCCTGTTTCCCGCTGTGGGAATAAGGGCCAAGGCAAGAGACCCGTGCCAGGCCCAAGACTCCCGAGGCCCAGGGGCCAGCATCCGAGATGGTACAGGCTCCCAGGCCTCTGTCAACCCATTTGTCACCCCTCCCCCCAACACCCAGATGTCCTGCCTTGGCGGTGCTGTCCCTGACTGCCACATTATTGCTCCAGAACCCGCCAGCTGGGCCCCGGGGCCTTTGGGGCTCCTCCAGGGACCTGGACAAAGGCGGGGGAGGGAGGGGAAAGGGACCCTGATGCCCCTCCCTCTCCGCCTTTTAGGAGGCAGACATGCCCGATGAGGTCAACATCGATGAATTGTTGGAATTAGAGAGTGAAGAGGAGAGAAGCCGGAAAATCCAGGTAGCTGGAGGGGAAAGCCGCCCCCAGCCCCCTACCCTGCACCTCCCTACAAATCATATCAATAGTTAACATGTTTCTTGAGCACTTCCTAAGTGCCAGGCGCTGTTTCAATTGCTTTACGCTTAGTAACTCATTTAATCTTCACAAAACCCTCTGAAGGGTTTATTATCTCCGTCTCACTATTATCACTATTATTATCTCTGCTTTCCACTTGAGGCAAATGAGGCGCAGCGAGATCTCATCACTTGCCCAGGGTCCCATAGCTCAGAAAGCTCATATCTGGGAATCAGAGCCAGGCAGCCTGGACGCAGTGTGCTTGCTCTTCGGCCTGTGCTCTCCTAGAGGCCAGGAAATGCTGTGTGCCCTTCGGGCCCTCTCTGGATCTAGCGCTGGTCTTGGTGCTGAGTTTCTTGACTCAACTCTGCCCCCAGTTGCTCTATAAGATGCTGGGGCCTTGTTCCTCCCCTGAAGCCACAAGGGCCAGTCCACCTGGAGTCTGACTACCATTTGTCTTGCTGCCTTGGGGCTTTGTTGGGAAATGGAAAGGGCTGGCGGGGCATATGTTTTAGTCATTTACTATTTTCTTTTCTTTTCTTTTCTTTTTTGTGGGGGATTGTTTAGGGACTCCTAAAGTCGTGCACAAACCCCACAGAGGTGAGTTTTCCACCCCCCATTCCAGGCCCTATTGTGCCCCCTGCACCTTGACTGGGGGCTGGGGGGCGGTCTCCGGGGAGGAGGGAAGAAGCTGGCTGTGCCCAGGACCAGCAGAGGGAACTCTGGGAGCCCTGCCTCTCCCATGGCCGTTTTCTCATCTCCAGTGGCGTCTTTTATCTTCCTCACTCCTGTCCCCTCTCTTCCCATCTGCCCCCAGGGCTCCATTATCGCCTCCCTGCTGACATGCTGCCCCATCTGTCTCCTATTTCTGCCACTGCTGAGCTCTGTCTGCCCGCTCACCTCTCTCCGCCTCTCTCCCTTGTTACTGCCTCCACCGCCCTGGGGCTCCCTTCCCCACCTCTCAGGGGCCCCCCTATCCTTCCAAGCCCTGAGCGGCCTAGCCCCTCCCACTTCCTTCCCTGCTTTAAAAGGGAAAAATATTCATGTTTCTCTAACCAGCTCTGGGCTGCCTGAGCGACAAACGTCATTGTGTGTCTGTCTGCCCTGGAGCCAGCTTAGGCCTCTGTCCCTGGGGATGCTCCTGATAATCTCTTGGCTCGAGAAATATCTCCATGTCTCTCTGTGGCTCTGTCCCTTCGTTTCTCCCTATCTCTTCATTTCTCTCTATCTCTGCATCTCTCTCTGTCTCTGCATCTATGTCTTGGTTTCTGTCTACGGGTCTCTGTCTCTCTCCATCTCTCTCTCCCTGTTCCCCCCACCCCCCCATGTTCTTCTCCATCTGTAGCCTCTACCCCTCCTTAACTCCACCTCCTTCCCCCTCTCACTGACCAGGAAGCAGGAAATAGAGGGGCCCAGGTCAGAAGGGCTGGGCTGGGCAGGGCGTGCCCCCACCCCTCCCATGTTCTCAGCACCCTCGCCTTGTCCTCAGGGCTTCGTCCAGGAGCTGCTGGTGAAGCTGCGAGGCCTCCACAAGCAGCCAGGCCTCCGCCAGCCCAGCCCCTCCGGTGACGGCAGCCTGAGCCCCCTCCAGGACCGAGCCCGGACTGCGCGGCCCTGACCCTCTCTGGCCTCTGTGACCCCCCTCCATCTCCCCCCAGCGCTGTCCTGGCTTGTTTATAAGTTGTATTTAATGGTTCTGTAACAATAACACTGCGTGCCTGTTTTTCTTCTCCCTGGTTACTGTGGGCTTCCCTGAGCTCCTCCCCGCACCTCCCTCTCTCCTGCTGCGTCTCCTCATGTCCCAGCACCCTCAGCTGGCCCGGGCAGATGGAGAATCACTCCTCAGCCAGGGAGCATGAGAACAGGCCCTGCTGACCTTGCACGCCTGGGACTCACATCCTCGCCTCACCTCCCCCAGCCTTGGCCCAGTCCCAGGCAGCAGGGCCTCAGTGTGTGGGTGGCACAGGGGGGCTCCTGTAGGGAGGACCACCTGTGGTCCCTGGGCCACAGGAGATGCACAGGACTGAATGTGCCTGATGTGGCCACAGTGCACTGGGAACAAACCATTCATCCTCTCCAAAGATTTTATTGGGCACCTATTGTATGATTACCCTGGCCATTAGTATTGAGGACACAAAGATAGCAGAAGATAGTCTCTGGCATCAAGGTGCTCACACAGTGGTGGGGAAGAAGGGCCTGTGGGCAGGGGATTCGAGCAAAGTGTGCTGCATGGTCCAAGATACTTGGGAGCCCATGGAGTAGGAGGAGCTGTTCACTCTTGGGGTGGTGAAGAAATCTAGGAGTGCTTCCTGAAGAAAGTGACATTTAGGCAGGGCTTTGAAGGATGCATAGGAGTTTGTGTGAAATGGATACCCATATCAGAGGACTCTGAACTGGTGGGAGGAGGGATTGATATTGGGGCTGAGCCAGGGAAGATACCAAATATTGGCAGGCCCATCTACCAGTCAGGATGGGCAAGTCCCTCAGAGCTGGATCAGGGAAGCCCCCTGGGCTGGGGCATGCTCATGCTGGGGAATGGAGGGCCCTGAAGGGTCTCAGGGGAAGGGCAAGGGTATCAGAAGTGGGTAGTGGTTATTTACTAAAGACTGTGGAAGTGTTTCATTATTTCAACAATAGTAGTCCCAGCTGTGTACAGTCAGGAGATGGGGTGGGATTGTGGCTGTGCTTAGGACTGGGGCCAGACCGGAACTGGGGAATCTTCCCCCAAGGTCATAGCGCACCTCCCATCTCACCTCTACTGCCTAAAATTGGGGCCCCGACCCCCATGCCCATGCAGTGCTGCCCAGCAGCCCTGCCAGGATCAGACACCCATCCCAGGGGTTCCAGCTCTAATCTGGCAGGAAGAGAAGCCGACCCTGAAGAAGAGGGGTATCGAGGAGCACCTGCTGTGTCGAGCCCTTCAGGTGACCTTGCTGTCCCTGTACAGACAGACCTCAGGCTTCCAGTGCCCCCTTCCCTCCACACAACTGGATAGAGAGTGTAATGGAGGAATCCCTCCTCCTTGCATCCAAGCAAAGTCTTGGGTGTGCCGTGTGTTGAGCCTCTCAGTTTCCTCATCTGGAAAATGGGGACTTCACAGAAGATGAAACTGAGGCCCAGATTCGTGATGACACTTGCCCAAAATCACTCAGCTGGGAAGTGGCAGTGGGTTTTAATCACAGGCATTATGACTCCAGAACCCAAATATTTCTACACTACAGTGCCCCTATAAGCCATAGCTTTAGCATACATTGCAATTCTTCAGTGGCAAGAAGAGGTGGACTAATTCATACTAAGGTGTTAGTGACTGCTGACAGCTCTCTGAGGTAGCCTGTCTAAAGGGCAATACAATTTGACTGAGAACAAGGCTACAACAAAAGGATCGGGAAGCAGCATACCATGGTGGGTAAGAGCATGGACTCCGGGGTTAGTGCTTGGATTCAAATGCCATCTGTCTTACTTCCTAGCTGTGTGGTCTTGATCAAGTCACTTAACCTCTCTGTGCCTCAAGTTTCCATATCTGGAAAATGATTATAATTGTACCTACTTCCCAGGGTGGTTGTGAGGTTTAAATACATAGCTTGTAGACTAGTGCCGGGCACAAAGTAAGCGTTATCATCAACCTTATCATTGTAGGAAGGGGCTGGACCATTAGCCCCTTACAGCCGCCATCCCTGGCCAGCAAGATGTCCCTTAGGAACACTGAATCACAGGCGCTCTGCTAAGGAAAAGCCACAAAGGACACGGTGTACCTGAGCCACCGCCCTTGCATAATTGCCACACTCACCTCCTCACGCTGCCTCCCAGGGCCTGTGATCTTGTTTCCCACTTAGCAGCCAAATAATGCTTTTTCTCACTCACTTTACTTTTTATTTATCTATTTTTTGGCTGTGCTGCACGGCTTGCAGGATCTTAGTTCCCCCAACCAGGGGTCGAACCCACGGCCCCTGCAGTGAAAGCGCAGAGTACTCACCACTAGACCGCCAGGGAAGGCCCTGTCACTTTTGTCTCCATCCACCCTGCTCCCTCCACGGGCTTCCTTTGGCTTCAGATGAGAAACCAAAGTCTCCCCCTACACGCTCCCCCCCCCCCCCCCCCCCCCCCCCCGCCCACCTGTCATCCTTCATCCCTCTCCTCTCCCTCACCTGCACTCCCCGCCAACCCCCCTCACTCCCACGAGACTCTTCCCCTCCTGGACGCTTGGACGTTTCTCTGCCCGGAGTACTCCGCCCAAGTGAGGGATCATCATTTAGGTGTAATTCCAGACAGGTGTTCTTGAGCCCCTTATGTAAGAAGCCACTCTCTGTCACAATAATTGATTTTCTCCACGAATTTATTACACCCTGAAATTATGCATTAGTTTACTTTATTGTCTGTCTACCCTCCCCCCACCTTCAGAATATTAGCTCCTTAGGCACGGCTGTATTCCTAACGTCCGGAGCAGCGCCTGGCACACAGCGGGTGCTTGCCCAATAACAGGGCCGCATTCTCCGCGCACAGTAACCCTCTTCGACTAGAAGTGAAGCCTTAGCGTCCTCTCGTGGCTATGCGGGTTGTTTTAAGTAAACTACACCCCCAAGGGTCAGCTACTCCAGGGCTGGTCGGCCGGCATTTATTTAAGAGCTGGCTCCAGAAGTAGCTACAGCAAAGCACTCGCCCGTCTTAGATCAACACCAGAGACTCGGCTAATCAGAATGATAAACGTTAGAAATGGTGTCGCACTGATGATATGATTGGTATTCACAACTGGCTAAAGCGTTTTAGAAATACTTCACAATAAATAAAGAGGGCAGGAAGGCTCTTCACGAAGGGTGTATCATGGTTGATATAAGCCTATGAGTATCCATATCATTTCACTAATACTGTAATAACCAATTAAAACATAATTTTAAAAGCTTGTTCCCAGGCTTCAGCACCAAAAAACAAAACAAACAAAAAACTTGTGCGGTTCTCAATAGCTACAAAAACTATAGTTTATCTAACAACTTAATCAAAGATATATAAGGCCTTGATTGAAAAAACATTAATATGCTGATAAAGGATATAGAAGATAATTTGGAAAAATGAGACCATCCATGCCTTTGCATAAGATATCTTAATATTATCCACATGTAAGTTCTCTCCAAGTTAGCCAATAAATTCAAAGCAATCTCAATCAGAATTCCGGGTGGATTTTTTGAGATACTTGGTAAAGTCTATTCTAAAATTTGTATGGAGGAAGAACCACAGTTGTACGTAATATGTACAAATAACCAAGCCAACATTAAAAAAGAAAGTGAGGAAGGCTTGCTCTACCAAATATTAAGCCATAGGAATAAAAAGTGTGGTATTGGGCTTCCCTGGTGGCACAATGGTTGAGAGTCCGCCTGCCGATGCAGGGGACACGGGTTCGTGCCCCGGTCCGGGAGGATCCCACATGCCGCGGAGCAGCTGGGCCCGTGAGCCATGGCCGCTGAGCCTGCGCATCCGGAGCCTGTGCTCCACAACGGGAGAGGCCACAGCAGTGAGAGGCCCGCGTACCGCAAAGAAAAAAGAAAAAAAAAGTGTGGTATTGATGAAGAACAGATGAATACAGCAAAGGAACAGAGCAGACTCACAGGTAGACTCCAAATGAAATAAAGACCTAAATGTAAAGAATAAAACTATGGAGTTAATACAAGAAAATGAATAATACTATCACTGTGACATGTCCACACATTTTTTGCTATACTTTTCATCAAAAGGTGGTGTCTCATTGCCCTTGTCTTAAAAACAGACCGGCCTCAGGGATTCACTTCTCACAAACAAAATGTGATGGAAGTGGTGTTGAGTGTGTTCGCCTGCTCAGGCTGCCATAATGAAATACTATAGACTAGGTGGTTTAAACGTCAGAAATTCATTCTCTCACAGTTTGGGAGGCTGGGAAGTCCGAGATCAGGGTGTCGGCATGGTTGGGTTCTGGTGAGGGCTGTCTTCCTAGCGTGCAGACCGCTGCCTTTCCACTGAATCCTCACGTGGCAGAAAGAGAGAGAACAAGTTCTCTGGTGTCTATTCTTTTTTTTTTTTTGGCGCATTGGGTTTTCGTTGCTGTGCATGCGAGCGGGGGCTACTCTTTGTTGTGGTGCACGGTCTTCTCACTGCGGTGGCCTCTCTTGCTGTGCTGTGGAGCACGGGCTCTAGGCACGCGGGCTTCAGTAGTTGTGGAGCGTGGGCTCTAGAGCGCAGGCTCAGTAGTTGTGGCGCACGGGTTTAGTTGCTCCGTGGCATGTGGGATCTTCCTGGACCAGGGCTCGAACCCGTGTCCCCTGTACTGGCAGGTGGATTCTTAACCACTGCGCCACCAGGGAAGTCACCCACACTTTCTTCTATAAACTTTATAGATTTACCTTTCACGTGCGGGTCTTTGATGGAGCTGGAGCTGCAGATGTCGTTCCCAGAGCTGACCGCCCATCCAGTAGAACCCAAGTCCCCTTTTCCAGTTAGGGATGCCTCCTGAGGGTGCTGGGGTCACTATGGCTGTGGGGATCACGGTCTCTTACATTTTCCACCTGGCTCACCACTCACTCCTAACACAATCCTCACATCCAGGTAGATGCTCCTTCGACCTCCCCCAGCCTCCACATGCCCCCACCACCTCTTTGCCAGGGATCTGGTCCTCTGCCCAACCCCGGCCCCTCCAGCCACCTTGGCCCTCGTCATGCCCATGCCCGATAAACACAGCCCCTCCAATCTCAGTTTCATGCTTCTCGCTCTCTATCCGCCTTCTCCTCTCTCTCAACTCCCTCCCTCCAGTCCCCCAACCCTGACAGGACCTACAGCCCCATCGATCCCCCTCCCCTCTCACTGTCCTTCAGCCCTGCAAGTCTGTGGTCACTCACCAAAGTGGCTCCCTTGTATCCCCCCTCAACTCCCTCTCTTTATTATTCTCACTTGGGAAACCCCCAATCTGGCTAAATCAAACTTGGCCTCTACTCCACGCCTCTGTCCTCTTCTAAGAGCTCAAAACTTTGAGTTCCTGACTGGCCCCTCAAGGGGTCTTCTGTGCATCCTCTCTCTTTTCCCCCATCTCTGCTCCCAGCTCATTTCACTGAAGCCATAGGAGAGAATGTCCTCAGTCTCCCACCTCCTGGCGTCTGCTCCACACGTCTTCTCCTCCTCCTGATACGGATCAAGCCTCACTAAGGCTGACCCTCCACTCGGGGACTCGCTTGCTTCCTCTTGTCTCCATCACTGCTCCAGCAATGCTCCCCTCTCCCCTGCATCGTCACCTTCCTGATCATTCCCGCTGGCATACAGATGTATTGTAACTCCTCCCATCTTAAAACAAAACAGAAGACAAAACTCTTTGACCTCCTCCAGCCACAGCCCTGTTTCTTGGCTCCCCTTTACAGCAAAATTTCTCCCCAGAGATGGCTCCAGTTCTCTTCTGCACTCTTTCCAATCAAATGTTCACATTCTACTTGTCCATCATCCCCTGCTCCATGGAAGTGCTCTTGTCAGGGTCCCCCTGGTGGTAATCCAAGTCACATTTCAGTTGCCGTCTTACTTGACCCATCAGCCGTCATCCTTCCCTGTCTCCTTTGCTCCTGAGACACCGGCCATCCTCTCCTGATCCTCTCTAGCCTCCCTGCCAGCTCCTTGTCAGCACCCCCACTGGCTCCTCCTTACCTTCTGGATCTGGTACTGATGGTCACCTCTAGGTCTCCACCTTGGTCCTCCTCTCTCCCTGGAGAGCTCATCCAGTCTCACTTTATGCACCCAAATTTCTCTCTTTAACCCAAAGTCCGGACTTACCCAGCAGCCCCTCTTTGATGCCTGACGTACATCTCAAACTCAAGGCTTCTGCTTCTGAAGCTGAGCTCCTGGGCTCTCCCAAACCTGCCCCTCTGGCTCCAGCCCCATCTCGGTGCTGGCGCCTCCATCCCTCCAGCTGCTCAGGCCACGGGCCTTCGCATCCTCCTTGACACTCCACGGACTCTTTCCCATGCGCCCCATAAATTATCCATCTGCAAATTCTGCCCACTCTGCTGTAGTAGGCAGAAAAATGGCGCCCCAAAGCTACCGGTTCTAATCCCTTATAGGGAAAGGTGTTTTTGCAGGTGTGACGAAGTTAAGGATCTTGAGATGGGAAGAATATCTTGGATTATCCAGGTGGGCCCTAAATACCATCACTTATAAGTATCCTTATAGGACGAAAGCAGAGGGTGAGAGGCACACACACAGAGGAGGAGGTGATGTGAAGATGGAACCTTGAAGACTGGAGTGATGAGGTCACAAGCCCAGGAGCATCAACAGCCACCAGAAGCTGGAAGAGGCAAAGAATGGATGTGCCCTTACAGCCTCCAGAGGGAGTGTGGCCCTGCTGACACCTTGATTTCAACTCAGTGATACTGATTTCTGACTGCTGGCCTCCAGAACTGTGAGAGCATAAATTTCTTTTTGTTTTGTTTTTAAATCTTTATTGGAGTATAGTTGATTTAAAATGTTGTGTTAGTTTCTACTGTACAGCAAAGTGAATCAGTTATACACACACATGTATCTACTCCTTTTTAGATTCTTTTCCCGTATAGGCCATTAAGAGTATTGAGTAGAGTTCCCTGTGCTGTGCAGTAGGTCCTTATTAGCTATCTATTTTATATATAGTAGTGTGTATATGTCAATCCCAATCTCCCAATTTTTCCCTCCCCCCTTTTCCCCCTGCTAAACATAAGTTTTTTTTCTACATCTGTGACTCTGTTTCTGTTTTGTAAATTTGTTCATTTGTACCATTTTTTTTATTCCACATATAAGTGACATCATATGATATTCGTTTTTCTCTCTCTGACTTCACTCAGTATGATAATCTCTAAGTCCATCCACGTTGCTGCAAATGACATTATATCGTTCTTTTTTATGGCCGAGTAAGATTTCATTGTATATATGTACCACATCTTCTTTATCCATGCCTCTGTCGAATTTCTGTTGTTTTAAGCTGACAAGTTCATGGTCATTTGTTACAGCAGCCGCATTCTGTTGCCTCTCATCACCTTCTTGCCCTGACCCTGGCCCCATCCTCCCACCCCAGCCATCTCAGCCCCCTCCCAGGTCTCCCGCCTCCTACCTCGTCCCCACAGTCTGGTCCACACTTGCAGCCATGAGGATCTTTCTAAAACAGAAGGAGATGGGGACTTCCCTGGTGGTTCAGCGGTTAAGAATTTGTCTTCCAATGCAGGGGACACAGGTTCGATCCCTGGTCTCACATGCCACGGGACAACTAAGCCCACGTGCCACACCTAGAGAGAAGCCCGCACACCACATGCTGCAACAAAGACCCAACGCAGCCAAACAAATAAATATTTAAAAACAAAACAAAACAGAAGGAGATCATGCTGAAAACGATCCACTGTCTCCCCCCTACCCTCAGAATCAAACCCAAACTCCTTACCCTAGGTTTTATGGTCCTACCTGACATGGTCTCACCTTATCCCCGGTCTCGGGATTGTTGTGAGGGTCACGTGAGTGTACACGTTAGCGCAGTGCCCAGCAGAGGTAAGAGTGCCCATCAGGGCAGCACAGAGGGTGCTTTGGGTCAGCAAACCTGAGTCCAAGTCCAGACTTCGTGATTTCCTTGTGATCTCCAGGCAGGGACCACACGTCTCTGGGCTGTTGAGATTATGTATGTAAAACCCTCAGCCTGGGAGTGGGACACAGTAGGTGTTTAGCCACAGGAAATGATGATGTGAGGATCACAGATAATATTTATTGTGTGCTAAAGTGTGCCAGGCACTAAGGGCTCTACATGGACCCAAAGCATCCTCACCACGAACCTGTGAGGTTGGAACCATTACTCCCATTTTGCAGATGAGAAAACCAAAGTACCAAAAAGTTCCAGAAGAGCTACTGGGGAAACAGGAAGGTGGTCTGCGGAGCCCACACTCCACCACCGACTCTAAGGCCTCTGTTGCAAACCCATACCCTCACCCCTCCCCACCTGAGAGCTTGAGAACCATCCCTTCAATTGCATTTTGTTTCTTCTTTCTGCCTTTGTGCCCAAATACAAACCATGATTCTCAGGGCTTTGCAGTCATTAGAAAGACTTGGGGGCTGCCTCCTGAGACCTGGGATTCTGGGATCTGCCTTCAGGGAAGCTGGATCCCTGGGACTGGGGGGCGGGAGGGTGGGTAAGGATGGCATTTTCATGGAGGGCCTGAGCAGATTCTGACACAGGAAGTCAGCAACCCCCTTCAGAGTAGCACAGGGAGGTGGCCTGTGGTTTAGCCCCAGCTCTCCCCACCTTGATAGGTGGGGACTTTTGGCGAGGGTACTGTCTATATGAGCCCGAGTTGCCTTGTCTGACTCTGAGGCGGAGAGTCCTGCTTCCTAAGCGCGGTCTGTATGATAGTGACATAAGACCCGTAAAAAGCTCAGGAGCCATCTTGACACACAGGAGGAGCTAAGTCGATGGGACCTTATGTATTGTTGTTATTATTATTAATTGTTATTGCCCTGGTATTGTGTGACCACCTCCCCCCAGCCTCACGTCCTCTGTACCTCAGTATCCTCATCTGGGTAGGAGACTTCTGAGGGTCATGTCTGAACACCCCAAGGGCAGCTTAGGGGAGGGCTGTACCCTCTGAAGAATAGCGGGGAAGAGAGGGATCAGGGGGCCTTAGCAAGTGTCTCTCTCGGAGGCCCAGGCTGGGCCCTCAGGGGTCTGGGACAGAGAGGGTCTATTGATTCCACAGGAGCCTCTGGCGGGAGGGACTCAGACCGTGGTGACCAGGTCCTGGGCAGGGTCTGAAGCTCATAGTGGGGGCACCAGTGTCTCCACTGGCTGGTCCCACTGGCCCCACAATGTCCCTCCAGGATCCGAGGCTTCACGAACAGTCTGTCTGGACAAAGACTGAGGCCACAGTGCCCTCTAGTGGCCAAACCTTTGCATTCCAGGTTAGGAGACGAGAACAAACGTGGGCAATTGTTTGTTCCCAAGACTTGGGTGACAGGTAGACCCCAGAGCCCCAAGAGGTCAGAACAGGGACTTTCCCTGTGTATGGAGAGGTCAGGGGGTCAGGACTTGAAAAGACTCTCCTGGAACTTCCTTCAAGGAGCCCTCCCTGACCCCCAGGCTGGGTTAGGAGACTCCTCTGGGCTCCCATAGCCCCGAGTACCTCCTCTATCCCAGCCCTGCCGTCTGCCCTGGCTTCCCCCACCCTTGGCTGTCATCGTGTGGTGGTGGGTCTTTTACCCCACTGGACTGTGAGCTTACGGCTTTGCCTGGGGCAGGGCCATCAGACACATCATTGCTGTGTCCCCAGCATGCCCACACAGGGCTGGGGACAGTGGTACTCTATAGAAATGAGTGAATGTGCCTCTTGACCTCTCCCTTCTCTTTGCCTTGAAGCTTTAGCTCCAGACCTCTGCTGGGAAGGTTTCCTTAATACAACCCCTCCCCGCCCCCCGCCCGCCAAGTCCCCTTCAGATGGTCCAAGTGTGTGGGAGGGCACAGCCTGGAGCCCACATGACTCTCTCTCCCTGCTGCTTGCACTCTGCAGAGCCAGACAATGGGGAGAGACATGGAGGATAATGACTAATTGATTCATTTATTTATTCAACAAATAATTGTTGAGCACCTGCTATTTTTCAGGCCCTGTTCTAAGCACTGGGGAGACAGCAGTGGAATGAACAACAATCCCTGCCTCATAGAGCTGGTAGTCAAAGGAGTGGAGACAGACACTCAATCAAGTAACTAAATAGGCCTACAACATGATGATGAGTTATGGTAAGTGTTGGGAGAAGGAGAAAGCTTTTAAGAGGACAGAGAGATTCTGGGGGATGCCATCTTAGCTGAGGTTGTCTCTGAGAAGGTGACATTCAGAAACCTGAACAAAGTGAGAGTTGGAGCCATGCAGGTGTCTGGGGGAGGAGGATTCTAGGCAGTGAGAACAGCAAGTGCAAAGGTCCTGTGGCTGAAGTGGGACTGGAACGTTCCAGGAACAGGGAGGAGGCCAGTGCGGCTGGAGTAAAGTTAGACAAGGGAAGGAAGAAGGGCGGTGAGATCAGAAGTGTGATGGGGGTTGGAAACGGGTTTGAGTAGGGCCTAGAGGGCATAGTAAAGACTTTGAATTTTTTTCTAAGTGTGAAAGAAGGGACTTCTCTGGTGCTGCAGTGGTTAAGACTCTGTGCTCCCAATGCAGGGGACCCAGGTTTGATCCCTGGTCAGGGAACTAGATCTCCCATGTATGCCTCAACTAAGAATTCTCATGTCACCACTGAAGAGCCCTCGAGCTGCAACTAAGCAGCCCGCCTGCTGCAACTAAGAACCAGAGCGACCAAATAAATCAATAAATATTTCTTTAAAAAGTGTGAAAGAAGCCACTGGAGGTTTTGAGCCAGAGCACATTGTGATGCCAGCTGTTTCAAGCAGCTCACTCTGGCTGCCCTGGAGAGAACAGAAATGGACTGTGGGGGCGGGGGGGAGCAAAAGGGGAGCAGTACCAGGATGGAGGCTGTGAAGGGAGAAGAGTGGGTGGATTCTGGATCTATTTTGTGAATGTGGAGATAACAGCATTTGCTGATGGGTCTGGGGTGTGTGTGAAAACGAAGAGTCAAGGATGACTGATTGCACTTAGAACAAAATCCGTTTTCTTTATAATGACCCACAAGGCCCTACACGATCTGGATCCTTGCTGTCTCCCTAATGTTGTCTCCCTCCCCGCCTCCCCCCACTCACTCTGCCCATTACACTAGCTTTCCCACTGATCTTTGAACTTGCCAAGCTTTTCCTCCTTCCCCTCCCATCGCACGGTGGCAGCTTCTCGGGTCTCAGCTCAAATGTCACCTCCTCAGAGCAGCCACTTTCTTTATAATACTTATCACTCTCTAAAATGATCAGTTTATTTGCTCGTTTATCATCTTTTTTCCTCCACTAAAAGGTCAGCTCCTTGAGGGCAGCAACTTTGCCTGTTGGTCACGCGGTATCCCCAGTGTCTAGAAGAGTGCCTGACACATAGCAGGCACTTAATAAATGAACAAAGGCATTGATTAACCCCCTGTGCTTGTTTACAGACTGGCTTACACAGAAGAGACACCCAGACAAGTAGGCAAAGGCAAGAATACACGACAGACCCTGGGGTCATCCACACACCCAGGGGAGACCCAGAAGCCAGGGACTACCTTCTCCTGCGCGCACGCGGTGCCTGGAGGATGGAGAACCCGAGCTGGGGATGGAGCACCCCCAGGGAGGGGAAAGGATGCCTTGGGGCGATCCCAGCCCCGCCCTGTATCCCCAGTAGCCAATGGGCGTGCGGTCCTCCCGACGCCCCCTGGGACGTGTAGTCCGGACAGGGGCGCCCTCGGGCGCCGCCGAGCGCCCCTAGACTCCACGTCCCGTCGTGCGCCGGGAGGTGAGGGGATTGGCCGAGCCCCGCCCCCTGCCCGCCCCGCTCCGCTCGCGCCGCAGCCCCAAGAATGAATGAAATCGTAGCGCGCTGGGCGGCAGAGCGGGCGGCGCAGGCCGGGCTGGGCCCGCGCGCGGCGGCAGCGGCGCCCCGGGCCGGAGGCGGCCCAGCCGAGCGGGCCATGGCCACCGCCATTCAGAACCCGCTCAAGTCGTGAGTGTCCCCGCCGTCCACGTCCCTCCATCCCGCCCCCTACCCGAACCCTTCCCCCGCCCTCGCTGGGGAGGGGGACGCCGTGGGCGGATGGCAGTTGAATGTGGGCCCCCAGCTTGCGCCCCTTCCCCTGGGCGGGCCCGCCACCCCCTGTCGCCCCCTGGGGCTGGGGGCGGGAGCCCCTCGGGGGTCGCGGGGGCGCCTCTTCTTTGTCGCTGTCAGTGAAGGAATGTGGCGCGAGCTGGGGGGTGGCGGAGGCCGTTTCCCCACCCAGAGTGGGGGTAGGGGCTTCCCTCTCCTCCTCCTCCCTCTCTCCTCCTCCGAGTCTCTGGGGGCGCCGGGCCTGCCCCTGCATGGGGCTGGGAGTACGTACGCCTAAGTCCAGACCTCAGTCTCCGGGGTCTCCACCATCCTTTCCCCTCATCAAAGCATCTTTCTCTCTTCCCCCCCCCCCATCTCGGGGACCTCGGTCCGCGCGACCGCAGGGTGGGAGCTTAGACGTCGGGGGTCCCCGATTAGATCCCTGCTGTTTCCCTTCCCGGGTCTTCAGGACCTAAAGCCCCGACGCCCCGTTCAGCTTAGACCGTGGGATCCCTCCCTCTCTCCTCCCGTACACATCTAACGAGAGCATCTCTCATCCCTTGGGGACTAGATGCCTCGGGAGAGGGTGCTGGGAGCGCCCTCAGCCTCCGGGGATTCCCTCCCTTTCTCCCTGTCCGCGTCCCTCCTCCGAGTGTTAGCTTCCTCCCGGGCCCAGTGGCTGGGATCCTGGACGCCTGGGTTCAAACCTAGCTCTCTTCCAGCCCTCTCCTCTCCTAGACATCCCTCGCTCTCTCCACCTCTCTTCTTCCCTCTCTTTCCATCTCTCTCGCTCCCTCCTCGGGATCCCGAACTCCTGGGTCCCAGCGCTCCCCACCCCCCTTCCCCAGGCGTTGACGGCGGACTGGGAGTGACAGGCGCGCGGCCGCTCCCGCTCTCCCTCCCGGGTTGGCGTGCGCGGCACTCCCCTCCCCCTCCTCCCCGGCCTGGTGGGGAGGAGGAGGAGGGCGAACGCCCGCGGCGCCGCACAAAGGGGCCTGGGCGACCTCCCCCACCCTTCCCCCAACCCCTGGCACCCGCCACCTTGACCTTGAGCAACTTGTGCGGGGGGTGGTGGTGGAGGGGGGGGAGGGGCCCGGGGGCGCTCCCCATCCCCCGCCCCCGCCCTCCAGAAAGGCTGTGCCAGGTGGCCGGACCGAAGGCGCCCAGTAGCTTCTAGTTTCAGGTGTGTGTGGGGGAGTTGGGAGAGGAGGGGCCGGACCTTACAGGCACGCGCCTACAAGTGTGGCTTTGCGGTGGGCAAAGGGGGCTTGGAGGACGTGTACGGGGCTGGGGTCAGTGTGAAATGGTGTGTAACGGTGACAACACTTCTGTTTCCCTCTCACTCTAAGTCTTCCACACACACTTGTCTCCCCTATGAGGGACACCCTCAAAGTGGCTGGGACGGGGTTCCTGTGCAGGTTGGTGGATCTGTAGGTATCCAGACATCCTCACTCTGACCCTGGCCCAGACCTCTTGGAGGAGGTATGGGGCAGCCATTGCAGGGACATGAAGGATAGAGTAAGCTTGGGGGTGGGAGCGCCAGCACCCTTCTTTGCTCTCACCTTCCCAGGGGTCTGCAGGGGTGAGGGCAGGGACTGGTTCCTGAGAGAATGCGAGTCAGGTCCCCTTGGGAGTGGAAGGTGGAGGGTGCAGCTCTCAGTTCTGACTGCCTGCATCATTCAAACCCCATCTTGAGCACTAATTTCTTGCCCTCCCCACCCGCCCCGAGCCTCAGTGTTACCACCTGTGAATTGGGGAATCATAACAGCTCTTATTACCTCATGGTGCTTCTGTGATGTTTGTAAAGCGCTTGGTACTGAGCCTGACACTGACTGAATGCAGTGATTATTATTGGTAGTATCAATACTGATTTCATTTGTGGTCCAGTTTCCACACAGGGCACTGGGGGATGGGGACAGGAGGATTGTTTGGGCAGGGGAGCTCAAGTGTGGGAGAGGGGTCTCTGAAGGTGACTAGGGGTAAGGAAGGGAAGGGAGGCCCCTCTCCAAATGCCAGCTGTGGGTCAAATTGTGCTGGTGGACAAGGGCGTCCAGGGAAGTGATGGGGTGTTCTACACTCAGGCTCCAAGCTGACCAAAGCTGATGCAAAGGTTCTGGGGTGGGGCAGGAGTGAGCGGGGTGTCTGAGGCTAGAGGTGTGGGGAGAAAGTGTAAGGGCATATTGGAAGATCTGTGAGGGTGGTGGAAGGTGAGAGATGAAGGTGGCAAGGGCACTCTGACCTGAGCTGGCCTGTTGGGAGGAGTGGGGCAGGGCTTACCGTGGCTGAGATATGGGGTGGCCACTGTAGGGACCTGGAGGCTAGAGTGAGTGTGAGGACTTACTCCCCTTGCCATCTGCTCTAGGCCAGATGTGAAGCAGAGACCCACTCCCTGCTGTTTGGGTTCGGGAAGGGGGAGGTCAAGGCCTTACCTGGGGGAGATGGGGAAGAGCCTGTAGAAGGGGTCTAAGACTAGAGGTGTGTGTGTGTATGTGTGTGTGTGTGTGTGTCTGTGTGTGTGTCCAGAACTGACCATAAGTGTGGAAGACCCTGAGGGGGTCTCTCTCACCAGGGTGTAGGTGGGGGTGTCGAGTGACAAAAGAGGAGGTGAAGGCTCTTATGCCTCTTCTGTCTGCTGGAGAGCCCCCTGGTGGACAAGGACATTGGTGGGCGTTTTCATCCATGCAAGGGCTCAAACTTGAACAGGAACTTTGGATGGGGGCTGGGGGTTGGGGGGTGGGGTGTGTTCCAGGTGTGTGTGCATGGGACTTGGTGATTGTTGTGACTCTGTAGGTCAGCTCCCTCTCTGAGCATCCCTTAGGGTAGAGTCAGTGTGGGTGACAGTGGGAGAAAGGAGGTGACCACTTGGGTACAGACATCTGGGTGAGTGAATCCTTCTTAGTCCCACCTTCAAACAGCCACCAGGAGCTGAGGGCATGTGACTTCACCTCCTCATCTGGAAAATGCGGGCAGTGATAATATCACCCCAGAGGGTCAGGATGAGGATCAAGTGAGTTAATCTCTGTTAAAGAACTGTGCCTGGCACATGGTGGCTACTCAGTATATTTCTATTCAACAAATATTTATTAAGCTTCTATTATGTGTCCAGCATTATTCTTTCTAATAATGGTTAGCTATCACCATTTTACATCTTAGTACATATCAGGTCCTCTTTGTGGAATGAATGAATTTATTGAACACCTACTACTTGCCAGGTAACTTTTAAAACACTTTACCCATGCTTACTCATTTAATCCTCACAATAATCCAATGAGCCATCGTCTGCATTTTACAGATGAGGAAACTGAGGCCAGAAAGGTTAAGTCATTTGCCCAAGGTCACATGGCCACCAAGTGGCAGAGCCAGGCTATGTCTCCTAACTAGCACAGCAGCTGTCAGGCCTGGGAAGGGGTTGAGTAGGGCGGGGTCCTTGTGAGAGAGGCAGCTCCGAGGGGGACCGGAGAGGATTCTCCCGAGCTAGGAGGGACTAGGGGGAGGGGGAGGTGTCAGTGAGCCACGCGTTGGTGGGACGTTCGTGTGGGCACCTGTAAGGTGTCTCTAAATCTCCTGGCACTGAAGTGTTTGTGTGAGTGTAAATGTATGTGAGTCTGTGCGAAGGTGTGGGAGAGGGAGTGTGCGTGAGTCTGCGTGGGACGCTGTGAGTATACGTGTGAATGTGTGTGTAAGCTGCCGCGTGTGGGTGTGTGCGAGTCCAGGTGTGCATGGGTGAGTGTAGGCCCATGTGTGAGACTCAAGAGGTGTGCATGAGTGAGCGCGCGGGAGTGGCTGTGCGTGCCTCCGGCCGCACCTCTGACCCGCTTCTCTGCGGGGTCCCGCCAGCCCCGGGCGGGGAGAACTACCACTCCCGGCATGGCCCGGGTGGGCCCACCCCGCCACCCTGATTGGCTGTGGTCCCGGTGCTCCCGCCCCCCGGGAATGAATGGATGGGCGGCCTCAGCGCCCGCCCGAGCGCTGGGAGGACCGGCCCGGCGGGGACCTGCTGGGGGCAGGACCCTGGGAGCAAGATGGCCACGGTCATCCCCGGCCCCCTGAGGTGCTGCGGGCCGGTGGGAGGCAGGGGAGGGCGCTCAAGCGGGTCTGCGCGGGCGTGTGTGTGTGTGTGTGTGTGTGTGTGCGGCGGCTGGGGGTGGGGCCGATGGGGTGTCTGGGGGGCTGTCACCGTGGGCCGGGCTGCGCGGGGTTGCGAATGTGTGTGACTGTGGGTCTCTGGCAAGAACCGTGTCCGACGCGCTGCTCCTAGAGGAGCGCGAAGTATGGGGAACTCGGAGCCCTATTGGCGCCCTCTTCGGGAAAGGGGGTCATGTCCCGCCCTGCGACCCCCGGAGTTGGGGAGAGGGTGAAATGGCCTGGGGGCCCGGGGGCCTTGGTAAACTTGAGTGAAGCCCACACTACCTTTGTCTTGGGTTGTGGAGTGTGTGTCACTTGTTCGGGTTCTGGGTTTTTTTTGGATATGTGTGTGGATATGCATTTAATTTCTTTCACATTCTACACTAGGTGTCTTTGGATATTTTGGTCTTTGAGTGTGTGTACATATCCTTTGAAACTCTGCATCATTTATGTTCTGTGTCTTTGGATATGTAGGTATGCATGTATTTATGTGCAAATTTTTGTGTGACTATGGGTGGATTTGTCTGTTTCTATGTTGTGTATGTGTGTATCTTTGTGTGTTTAAGTATGTGGTATTTTAGATGTTGGTTTCTATATTGTGTATCTTCGTGAATGTGTGTGTGTATCCTGTGTGAATCTGTGTGATTTCTTTGTATAGTGTATCTGGATTGTGTGTGTGTGTGTGTGATTTGTGTTGTGTCTTTGGATAAGTGTGTAAGTGCATATGTGGGTAGTTTGTTTTTAACATTTTTTCTTTTTTAACATTTGTGTATGTGTGTGTGTCTTCGGATGGATGAGTAAGTGGATGTGTCTGTGTGTGGTGTGTCATCTGTTTGCGTGTTGTGTGTCTTTGTGTGGGTGATTGTTTATGTTGTGTGTCTTTGGATATGTGATATATATTTGTGCATGTATATGTGTGTGATCTGTCTGCTTCTACACTATGGGACTTGAGATACTTGTGTTTTTCAGTAGATATTTGTGTGAGCACATATGTGAGATGTGTCTGTTTCTCCTTTGTGAGTCTTGGGATATGTCTCTCTTTGTGTGCGAATCCTGTGTGACTATGTGCGATTTGTTTGTGTTGTGTATTTGGATATGTGCCTGTATGGATGGGTCCCGGTGTATTTTTATCTGTTTCTATACTGTGTGTATCCACTCCTTGGCTCAAGGCCTGCTTGAGTCCGGGTTGGGGGCTCCTGGGTCCAGGAGCGACGACAGCGGGGGAGAGGTGAGGTTGGAGGAGTCGGCCCACCCATTCCCCACGGGCGGGCTGGGGGAGGGGTGCCGGGCGACCCGGTGCGCCTGCCCTTGCTGACAGCCGCCCTCCCGCCCACCCGCCCCTCGCAGCCTAGGCGAGGACTTCTACCGAGAAGCCATCGAGCACTGCCGCAGCTACAACGCGCGCCTGTGCGCCGAGCGCAGCCTGCGCCTGCCGTTCCTCGACTCGCAGACCGGCGTGGCCCAGAACAACTGCTACATCTGGATGGAGAAGACCCACCGCGGCCCGGGTACGGCTGGGAGGTTGGGGGTGGGGCGGGGCGGTGGCTTCGCGGCCGCGTTCTTACCGCCCTTCTCACTCCAGGTTTGGCCCCGGGACAGATTTACACGTACCCCGCCCGCTGTTGGAGAAAGAAACGGAGACTCAACATCCTGGAAGACCCCAGACTCCGGCCCTGCGAGTACAAGATTGGTGGGTGGAGCTCCGTCCTGTGCCTTCGGTGGCCCCAATGGGTGCCCACAGCACACGCTGATAAGTGTGTGGTGATGCCGGTGTGCGTCTGAGCATTCGCCTTTATTTCCCTCCTAGCCAGTGTCTGAGTGGCTGGCTGTGTCTGCCGTTGTGTGTCTGGGTGTCGTCCAGAGATTCTCCAGTTTTCCCTGAGTGACTGAGCTTTGGACTGTATCTTATCCTACTTGGGCCCAGGCGTATTTCAGGACAGAGTGGTATCTGTTATGTGTGTCCAGGTGTATCCAGTCTTTGTATCTCTTCCCTTGTGAGCTGGGATGTATCAGAGTATCTGACTGTATTGCTTCCTGTGGCTGTCTGAGTGTGTCTGGATGTATCAGAGTGTCAGGTTGTAACTCTTTCCCTTTGTAATAGAGTGTATCTCAGTGTCTGTGTCTTTTTTCAGGTGTTTCCAAGTGTATTAGAAGGTTTGTTTCCTCTTGTGTGTGGCTGGTCTATCAGAGTGTCCAGCGGTTCCTGATGTGGGTGTATCAGGGGGTCCGGCTCTCTCTTCCTTTGAGCGCCAGATGCTTTGGAATGTCTGGGAGAATCTCTTCCCTGAGTGTCTGTCTGGTGTATTAGATGTATTTCTGCACGTGCGCTGCCCCATGAGTGTCTGGTTTTATCACTTCTTGAATGTGTCCAGTACTATTAGAGTCACTGGCTGTTTCTCTTCCCCTGTCCAGGTATATCCAAGGATCTGTGTGGGTCCAGGTGTATTGGAGGGACTGTCTCTATCTCCTGTGTGTATGTGTATCCACCTGAGTGACTCTCTCTAGGTGTGTCTCTGTCTCCCCTAAGTATGTTCAGGTGTTTGCTAGGGTCTGGCCGTGTCTTCCCCATGTGGTCTGGGTATATCTGGTGGTCTAATATTCTCTTTTGTAGTGTTGCTGGGTGTGCCAGTATACCCAAGGGTCTGGATATGTCTCCTCCATGTGTCTGGGTATATCTGAGTGTCTGGGTGTATCTCTTCCTTTGTGTGTCTGGCTGTCTCAGATGACCTGTATGTATCTCCCCTGTGTATGTCCATGTGTGTCCTGTTTGAGTGTCTGCTCTCTCCAGGTGTGAGGGTCTGGGTGGGGTCTCCTACAGGTATGTATGTAGTTATATAGGAGGGTCTGGGCATGTCTCCCCTTGAGTGTGTCCAAGTGGCTCTGAGGGTCTGGCTGTGTCTTCCCCAGGGTCTGGGCATCCTTGGAAAGGATGTATGGAAGTATTGTTGGAAGGGTGTATGGTTGAATCTTTGAGTCTATTGCTGGTTGAGTGTGGGAAAGCCTCTTCCCTCTAGCAAAGAGCATGATTCTCCAATCTGGGCAGTTTGAGGAGTCCTCCAGGAACAAGTTCTCCACTTGACACCCTCCTCCCTTGTCCCCAGACTGTGAGGCGCCATTGAAGAAGGAGGGCGGCCTCCCAGAAGGGCCGGTCCTTGAGGCTCTACTGTGTGCTGAGACAGGGGAGAAGAAGATAGAGCTGAAGGAGGAGGAGACCATTATGGACTGCCAGGTAGGATCCCCCCACCCCCGCACCAGGGGCCACAGCTGCCCTCTCACCCCTGTCTCCTGCCCCGGCCCATCCTGTTCCTGCTCTGAAATCTCCCCTGGCTCCCTAGGGCCTTTGGGCATCCTAAGTCTCTATTCTTCCACACGTCATCTCTTTTTTGGAAGACCTCCTGACTTGCCCTGACACCCCCAGTCTCCGGTCCGCCCAGAGCCACCCACCCGGCAAAGCAGAACAATACCCCATTTTCTTAACCCCAATCTCCCTTCTCCTGGTGCCCAGAAACAGCAGCTGCTGGAGTTCCCACATGATCTTGAAGTGGAAGACTTGGAGGATGACATTCCCAGGAGGAAGAACAGGGCCAAAGGAAAGGTATCGCTCCAGAGTTTCTCTCCATCACTCCTCCGCTCAATGCAGATCCCATTTACTGAGTATGTACAATGTTCAGACCCTGCCCCAGTTTGACCTCATTTAATCCCCAGAGCAGCCTGAAGGGATAGGGGATTTTTCTACCCATTTTACAGATGAGGAAATTGAGGCTTGGGTCTATTAAACCATTTGCAGAACAGAGATTGTACGGTGGGTTAGAACTAGCTTCATACCTGTGTCACGGATGAGGAAACTAAACCTTGGAGAGATCAAGGGAGTTACTCAAGGCCCACAGCTAGGAAGTGGCAGAGCTGAGATTTGACTTTCAGGCCCAAATGATGAAAATTCTCTTAGTTCCCTCCCTTTCTTGGCCCCTCACTCATGACTTTTCCCCTAGGCATATGGCATCGGGGGTCTCCGGAAACGCCAGGACACCGCTTCCCTGGAGGACCGAGACAAGCCGTATGTCTGTGATAGTGAGTCTTTCTGAAGAGGGGGGAAGAGAGAGAGAGTGGGGCCCAGAGACCTCTCCCCTCCTGGCCCCCTCCCTTCTGTTCTGGACCCTGGTTGGGGGATGTTCAGGCCTCTGGCAGAGGGTGGAGGTGTGATCCTGGAGGCCAGGGCAGAGGCGGGCTGGGAGGGCTGACCAGCCCTTCCTGCTCACTCTCCAGTCTGTGGGAAACGGTATAAGAACCGGCCAGGGCTCAGCTACCACTACACCCACACCCACCTGGCTGAGGAGGAGGGGGAGGAGAACGCCGAACGCCACGCCCTGCCCTTCCACCGGAAAAACAACCATAAACGTGAGCAGGCGGGCAGGGCGTGGGGTGGTGAGGGGCCCTGGGAGTGGGGGCTAAGGAGCCTGGGAGGGAGGGGGCACATTAGACATTTCTGGAAAATCTCCAGCTCAGCGGTCCCCTCCCCCCACCAACCATGGGGGATGCTGGCTCTGAGGTTGCCATGGCAACCAACCATCTCTCCCTCGCTCCTGGCCGGGCGTAATATTTCTGGGTCTGATTTATTGTTTCAATTAGAGCTTGGGGAGGGGGGGGTGATAGATGACTCCCCTCCCTCCCTGCCTCCCTTTCTCCCTTCTCTGCTAAGCTTTGGCCGAGGGGCAGGGTCCGTGGCCTGGGAACCCTTGGCGATCACCCATGCCAATCCGGTGCCAACCCTGACAGCTGAGGGATGGGGGAAGGCTTGGGGGGAGGCTCTGCCAGTGGAAAAACCATCTTTCCACCCACCCCTCGGTGGGAGAGGGCAGTCTCTTCATCCCATCCCCACCACACACCGAGGCACCTCTGTGTTGAGAATTTTCCTTCCGAATGTCTGTTTCCACACCAGATCTCAGCCAGTGGTGTCCACCTAATTGTTATTTAGTCGGGGCTTAGTTGTGGGGGGGCTGTCTGGTAGAAGTGTGTATGGGCGGGGAAGCAGGGGGCTCTTCCTAAAGCTGCATCTGCCAAGTTTTTACCTAATAAAGAGGATGTATCAGTTGTCCTCAAAGAGTTGGGGGGGTCCTGATGAGAATTATTTGGGCTCCCCCAACTCTCTTTTGCTACTGGCCACAGCTTGGGGTAGCTGCTCCCTCCCCCTACCTCCTCCATGCCTGGAGGAGGGGTCCAGCCCTTTGGCTGAGGCTGGGGGCAGGGTGGAGCTTTGCCTATGGTGAGAGCCCCTCTTTCTGTCCCCCCATCCCCAGAGTTTTACAAAGAATTGGCCTGGGTCCCTGAGGCACAGAGGAAACACACAGGTAGGGACGCCTCCCTCTGCCCCCACTTCTGCAGCAGCCTTTGACCGAGTGTCCCTGCCTGCCCACGCCAACCCTTGCCTGCTCTCTTTCAGCCAAGAAGGCGCCTGATGGCACTGTCATCCCCAATGGCTACTGTGACTTCTGCCTGGGCGGCTCCAAGAAGACGGGGTGTCCCGAGGACCTCATCTCCTGTGCCGACTGTGGGCGATCAGGTGATGCCCCCGCCTGAGGTTTCTGGGGGCCGTGGTGGAGAGGACTCCAGGAGTCCAGATCTGGAGGAGAGAAGGCAGAGGAGTGAGAGGACTGGTGGGGGGGGATGCAGAGCATCCCAGGGGCACTGAGGATAAACAGCCGACTCAACTGCTGAGGATTGTGGGAAACTGAGTGGGGTCAGGGAGGCTCTGGGAACAATGGGATGTGGTAGTCATGGCATTGTGGGTGCCGGCATGTGCTTATCTGGCGTGGGGAACAGTGAAAGATGGTTGCCAAAACATCGTGGGTAGTGGGCTGTGATAGCGAGTAATGGATTGCCACTGCCTGGGTGCTGTGGATCACAGAGGGCGCTTGCCATTGCCATGGAGTTGTGGTTAATAGACTGTGGTTTCCCAAGGTGGACTTGTGGGTAATAGACGGTGGTTGCCTCAGCACGGTGGCTAATGAATTGTGGTTGTCATGGTATTATGGGTAGTGAAATATGGTTGTCATGGCGACTGGGTGTAGTGGAAGGTGGTTGTCGTGGCCTGGGGTAGTGGCTGCGCATCTGTACTGGGGTGGTGGGTTGACCAGTGGGTTAGCACCCTGCACAGTCATGTGGGTAACAGTGTGGTTGCTGGGGCTTCGTGTGTAATGGGCTTGGGTTGCAGGGAAAACCAGGGTGTGGGGACCCCTCTGTGGAAGGCGGTTGCCATGGCATCGTGGCTGGGAGACTGTGGTTGCCACGTACTGCGGTAATGGAATGGAACCGGTTGGCCATTCTGCTGTGGGTAATGGAACGTGGCTGCCTCAGCACGGTGGTTAACAGAATGTGGCTGCCCCGGTGCTGTGGGTGGTAGAGAGTGGTTGCCACAGCACCGTGGGTAATGGAATGCGGTTGCCATGGTGTCCTGGGGAGCAGAGTGTGGTTGCCATGGTGGCTGGGTAGGAGACTGGTGGCCAGGGCAGCAGTGCCTGCGGGACAGGGTCTGGGCACCGTGGGCTGGGTGGGGTCGGGCTGTGGGCCTTGTGAGCTAGGGATGGGGGCTGAGCCATTGCTTCCCCGGGGGTCAGCAGCCACCAGGGGCACGATGACCCCTAACCGCATCCCTGCCCCTTGGCCCCCAGGACACCCCTCGTGTTTACAGTTCACGGTGAACATGACGGCAGCTGTGCGGACCTACCGCTGGCAGTGCATCGAGTGCAAGTCCTGCAGCCTGTGTGGCACCTCGGAGAACGACGTGAGTGCCCACGTGCCCCCTTCCCCGGGACATGCCCCCAGGCGGCCTCCTTTCCCTGGAGCCCCGTCCCTGGTGAACACCAGTAACCTGTATTATGATTACTGTTAGTGTCCATTAATTGAGCCCGGCACTTAATACTCTTCACTCTGACTCCTTCCAACTGCCCTGAGGTAGGTGATCTCGTTCCCACTTCACAGAGAAGAAACCGAGCTCAGAGAGGGGACTAGACTTGCCCAAGGTCACCCAGCCAGGAAAATGGTACGGCTGGGACCTGAACCCACGTCCATGACTTCCAGACCATCTCCGTGTCACTTTAAGTGTTCCACAGAGTCCTATAAAACCTAAACTACAAACTGCAAACTGACAGTCCTCAGGGGTGTTTTGCTCGTCGCCCAGTAGGGTTTTGCAAAGATGACCTTCTCAGAGCCCTTTGTCTTGCAAGGGACCGCTTCCCCCAGCCCCTTTGACCTGGCCCCTGCCCCCGCCCCCCACCCCGGTTTCTGGTGCCCGTGCCCCCAGGGTGCCAGCTGGGCGGGTCTCACCTCCCAGGACCAGCTGCTGTTTTGTGACGACTGCGATCGGGGTTACCACATGTACTGCCTGAGTCCCCCCATGGCGGAGCCCCCGGAAGGTGAGAGAAGAGGAGGGCCGGACACGGGGGTGGGGTGTTGGACAGTGGTTGTCCTGCTGTCCGCTGGGTGGGAGGGGGTCGGGGAAGCCCTGCCCAGACCTGGGCCTAACTCCCTGTCCTCCGGCCACGCCGCAGGGAGCTGGAGTTGTCACCTCTGTCTTCGGCACCTGAAAGAGAAGGCCTCTGCCTACATCACCCTCACCTAGGCCTGGCTCTGGCTCACCTGGACCTCTGGGGTGATGCTTGCCTACCTGCCTCTTGGAGCTCCTCCAGTCTCTCCCCATCCTTAATGCCCCACAGTGGAAGGGGCCGGGGGTGGGGGGAGCCTGAGAGGGGGCTGGGTCACCCCTCCCCTCTGTGCAAGTGGAATGTTTGCCCTGTGGGTTGGTGGGCCCAGCAGGGTCCTCTCCCTTCCTCCCTCCTGCCTCACCCCTTCGCAAATGGGCACCAGGGGCTTCTGCTCCCCTCAAAGCCATACCCCGCCTCTGGGCGGGCACGAGGGGTGGTGGATGCCAGCTGGGGGCACGGACAAAGCCTTTTTCTAAAGAAAAAGTCAAAAAGTTAAAAAAAAAAGAAATTAATATATAACAAAGAGTCCTATAAGGTCTGGCTGGGTGGAAGGGGGCACTGCTGAGCGCATCTACTGGGCACCAGTCTACGCCAGTTTCCTGCCTGGCGGCTCCTCCCCCCAAGTCCCTGGAGTTGCAGCTCTCCCACCTCCCCACCCAAGGTGGGCACCATTCCCCCCTTGTGCCCAGGGCAGGTGGGTGTGGTGTCCACCCCCGCCCTCTCTTGGTGCCCACTGTGGATACTGCATGATGTGAACCACGGTTTTGAACTCCGTTCCTGCTCCCTCCCCGAGAGCCCCGCCCCGAGCCCACTCCGTGCCCGCCTTGGCAAGGCGGGCCCCTGCCCAGCGCCTGCTGGAATGAGAAGCACAGACTCTGCAACGGACTAGATTTTCCTCCTCCCCCCGCCCCGATTCCCTACCGGCCAGGCCGGGCTGCCCCCTGCCACCCTCGCTGGCCATTTTCGGGTCGCGAGGGGGCGTGGTTGTTTCTTGTGGTTGTGTGTGTTTGTTGTTCGGGTTTAAAAAAAAAAGGGAAATTGAGACTGCAAGTGGGGGAGGTGGTGGGTTTGGGGGGGTCTCCCCCAATCCTGGCGTGTCCCCCCTTGTAAACGAGTCTCCTTTATTGCCTGCCTCTGCTGTGAATTAACTTGTTCCGTGTATTAAACTGGGCCTGACCCCTCTGCCCACGTCGTCTGCCTCGTTCTCCAGGCTGGTTTGGGGCATCACCAAGAAGGGGAGATGGGGCCTCATTGGGGGAGAAGCAACCGAGGTTAACAGCTGGAGCTGGCCCTACGTCCATCTCCCTCCAGCTCCCCTCTGCACCCCGCCTTTCTCTGGCTTTGTCCCAGCTCCTCCCTGCCTCGCTGGAAAGGAGAAGGGGGGGGATGGGGTGGAGGGGGCTCCCACCCAGCCAGCTGTGGTTGCCCTGGCAACGGACTGCTGCAGCTGCAACGGGGAAGCAGTGAGGAGGGAGGCGGGAAGCTGGGGACTGGGGGAAGGGAAGGGATGGAAAGATGAAGACTAGGGGCTGGCCCCTCCCCTCGGGGCCGTTGGTAGGGATCAGGGGTGCCAGGGACGCCTCACCCTACACCCAGACATCACCTGGAGCTCCCTATCCCGATGTGGGGCAAAGGACAGAGGGGAATGGGCAATGGGATATAGACCCAGGGACATTAGGAGGAAGACAGATTTGGGTGAGGTGAGGTGAGGAGTGAGAACCAGGATACAAGAACAGTCAGGAGAGAGACAGATAGGAGCCACATATTTATAGAGAATGAGAAAAAGAGCAGGAGAGGGAAGACGCAGACCTGGAGAGAGATGTAGATGAAGAGGGCCAGAGGAATTATGGTGGAAGAGGACAGAAGAGATGATTTAGTGGGAGAGAGGCAATAATAGTAATAAAAACCAGCAGACACATGGGGAGAGACAGAGGAGGAAGTACAGGGATCTGGAGAGAGAAGCAGAAGAGATTCCATGTGGGGAGGCAGGGAACCAGGGCACGTAAAATAGGAGAGCGGAAGAGAGACTAAGAGCAGGGAGGCACATTTGGGGAGAGAGATGAAGTTAGGACCCAGCACAGGCGAAGTCCTAGGACAATGCCACAGACATGAGATTTCAGGGGAGAGGACACAAAGAATTTAGGGAGACAATAGAAAAATCTGGAGAGAGCCAAGAGCAGGAAGGGATTCAGAGCCTGGGTGAGGGGAGAGCCAGAGGCGGGGTGGGAGGCAGAGGAGACTGGGGGAGGGTCGAGGAGGGCGCCCGGGCCCGCGAGAGGGGGACAGGCAGAGGAAGTGGAAAACTGGGGCAAGATGGGGAAGGGATGAGCAGGGCACAGTTCAGGCGAGAGCGCAGGCTGGCGTGTGCGAGTTGTGGGGTGTTGGAAGTTGGTGTGTGTCACAGGCGCCAGGAGAGGATGTGAGAACAGCTTGTTCCGCCGTTTCCGTGCTGGAGGGGGGAGGGCAGCATGGGTTGAGGATGGGGCCTCAGGGAGGGCGGAGACAGGGAGAGTGTCTGGAACACTCTAGAATTTTTAGGAGATGTGGAAATAGCTGGTCCACCTCCTCTGGAAAAAGGATATATAACCGTTTTGGAAAAAGATTTGTTGTGTGTGTGTGTGGGGGGCGGGTGTGTGTGTGCGGGAGAGTCTAGGTTACAGAAGCATCAGGTTTGAGCACGGAAACAGTAAACTCCATCACAGGTAAATGTCTAGGTGGGCCAGAAAGCCCCAGCCGTGGGGCCAGCTCTGTCAAGAGAAGGGGCTGCTTCTCAGATCCAGGTGGAGCTGGACCTAGACTTCCCACCAGAAGCCGGACCTTGGGATTCTCACATGAAATTTCGAGGTCTGGAAAATAAGTTTGACCCTGATCCCCGGGTCAAACTGCGAAAGTGTTTCGCCAGGGCAGCTGCAGATCTGGGCCCAGGAGTTTAAGACCGCTCCCAGCTAGGAGAGCCCCTAGGCCCGGGGCTGAGGTCCCCGGCTGTGTCGGTATCTTTCCAAGACACCTCCACCTCTCCCCGAGCCCCCGGGGCCTGGAAGCAGGGGCTGCTCTTCACTCCAAACCACCGACTAGCTGACTGGCAGAGGGAGGCCTACCCCCACCGAGGGCGGGTGTGGTGCCAATGAGCTAGCACCCGGCAGGGTGTGGCCTGGGGCGACAGCCCCGCTCAAGGAGGCAGGGGCCCCTCAGTTCCGAGTCTTGCTGAAGAGGACAGAGTTACCAAGCTCGAAATCCAGCTTTCTTTCTGTACGATCTCCAGATTTTAAAAAGTTGACCATTAATTTTAAAACCAACACAACTCCATGGGCCGGGTCTGGCTTTTAGGCCTCCAGTATATGAATTCTGAGGTAAAACCTTCCTCTTTTTAACTTAAGAATTTCTTACATTCGGGGGAACTCCCCGGCGGTGCAGTGGTTAGGACTCCGTGCTCTCACTAAATTTCTTACATTCTGAGTGTTGGATTTCTGTCACTTGGGTTTCAAGAAAAAGAGAATGGTGCTCCCTGGCTCTTAGGGGTGTGTGCGTGCATTGGGGGGGGGGTGACGGCGTTTGGGACAAGGGGGACAGGAGGAGGGGGCTGACGCTGGATCACACCCGCTTCTCAGGGAGTCCAGGCAGCTGCTCAGCTAGCGAACACACAAGCCACTTCTATGAAACATTTATTTCCTTTAAAACCTCCAGAAACATGCCAGAAAATCTCAAGACGGGGATGGGGCTGAGGGGTGGGGGGAGATAATAAAGAATAAAAAAATCCAAATGAAACAAATCAACATAAAAAAAAAACCCCTGCTGCTATCTTCAGCCATCACATAGAACACCAAACTCAAATTAAATGTGCTTTGCAGAGATCCTTTAGAAATAACAGACAACAAAACCCAAAATCATAATTTACACTTGTCGATGTACATGATTAGGTCCCCAAAATGATTCAAATGATCTGAAGATGTGAGGAGACAACTTAAAAAAACAAAAACGGGTGGGGGAGGGGTGAGCCCCAGGTTAGGGTCTGAGGAAAGGGTGGGGTGGTAAGTGGTCCTGGAGAACCCTCCCCAAAAGGGACCCGGGAAGAGGGGCAGAGACATCACAGTAGCTGGCCAGGGCTGAGGACCCGGCAGGCGCCCCTCGCAAACCACAGGTGAGGGAGAGGAGATGGCAGACCTGAGGGCCTTTCTCGCGCGACTGCAGTGCTGCCGAGGGGCCAGAGGTTGATGGCAGGGAGGCACGACGAGGGTCCTTTTCTCTTGCTCCTTCAACGTCTGTGTCCTGTGTGGTCGGTCCCCAGAGCCTCCTTCCCTGAGGTTTCCGGCCCCAGAGAGGAGGCGGCGGGGTCTCCGGACGGGACTGGACCGCCCGGTGCTGGCCCCCCGCCGGAGCGTGCTGCTCTCAGCTGGGCCCCCCGGCCTGCCTGCCCACCCTGCTTTCGTCCCCAGCCCACGGGGGACGCGCCTCGATCCTCAGCTTGAGGTTGGGGGAATCCACAGACTGTGGCCGTACAGACTTGTTCTGGCGCAACTCCACATGAAAAAATAAATATATATATATATTTTTTTGTTTGTTTTTAAAGGAAAAAAAGAAACTGTTTCCTGGGTGAACAGCGTAGTACCACACCGGCCTGGCTGCCTGGCCAGCTGCCCCTTATTGCCTCGAGAGAACCAGCGTCTTGTGGGGTTAGCACAGCAAGGCGCTCCCCGGGGAGCACAGTGACGGTGTCCGACGTTGCTGCTGCTACTGCGGGGCCTACGAGATGGGCCGAGGGGCTTTGCAAAGGGAAACAAAAGCGGAGAGGAGAGGGAGGCTGCCTCCCTCCGGCCCGGACCTGACGGCTCCGTGGAGCCCCTCCTGGTGCCCGGGAGGGGCCGGGGCTGACGGAGCTGGGGAGGAGGAGGGGTGGGCTGTGCCGGTTCCGCCGCTGGGCCTGGCCGGGTCAGCAGCTCGCAGGCGGAGGGGGCCCAGGTGCCGTGGCCTCTGGCAGTCAAGGGACTGGTAGACAAAGGCTGGAGAAATGGTCCCGAGCGTGCAAATACCTTCCCCCTCAAAGAAGTTAACTCTGGATGCTGGGGTTTCCTCGCTCCACCCTGGGACCTCCCAAGACAATAAATGAAACTCTAAGAAAGTGCTCCTGGTTGCTTTTTGGAGGATAGGGTAGGGAGGGGGCAATGTCCATGCTTTCTGGAGCCAGTGCACCAGGGACCAAGAGCCCTGGCCCACTTCCACGCCGGCCCGCACCTCTCCGGGCGTGAGGGGAGAGCGGGATGGTTTCCCGCTGTGATTTCTCAGGCAGGGGTCTTGGCCCCATAAGCCCAGACGCTGCTGTACGTGGTGAAGAAACCCGGTTCGGGGATTCCTGGAGCTGTGGGGTTTGGAGACTCACTCCTGCCCTCCACCCCCTTCCTACAGCTTCCAGTGGCTTGGTCCTAGGAAGAGGCTGGATGTGGATGGCAGGATGGGACCCTGGGGGCAGTGTGGGCGTGGCCCAGCCCCCAGGAACCTCAGATGGCGGCTCGGAGGGAGACCACGTCGCCCTCTGGGGCTCGAGGGCCAGGAGTGGACCCCAGCTCACAGCCCCGTGAGGCCTCCCTCAGGTCCCACTGCCACCCCGAGTGTCCGTGTCCACGGGAGGGCGGTGGGGCCCTGGCTGCATAGCTCGGTCACACCTGCAACCAGAAGCCGGGCTGAAGGAGAGGACAGCAGGAGCCCCCGGTCTGCCCAGGCGGAGGGGGGCAGGTGGCAGCCTCTCCACCTCAGAGTTCCTTCTTTTCCCTGCAGAAGATCTCGGCGAACTTGCGTAGCTGCTCGCTGGCGGCCTGGGACTCCTCCTGCAACCGCTGGTTGTTCTGCCTCAGGCTGGCCACCTCCGACTGCAGCACCGCCTTGTCTTGCTTCTCCTGCGGGGGCGGGGGCTGGCATCAGCGGGCGCACCTTGAATGGCTCCCCGGGGCCTGCGAGCCCCGCTAGGCCGTGGTTTAGAGCCAGGCTGCCAGGGTTCAAATCCCAGCTCTGCTTCTCAACAGCTGAGCAACCTCGGGCAAGTTTCGGCCCCAGTTTCCTCCGCTCTAAAAGGGGCAGTTGAGAGGTCTCCCTGAGGTCACATATGTTGAGCTCTTAGAACACAGCCTGACGTGCAGTAACTGACAAACATCACTGTAATTAGGAGCACCTCATTCCACACTCACAGCCACCCAAGGGC